TGTATGTATGTAAGTTTGTTTGCAGCAGGTAATCTCCGAAACTACTCATCCGATTTCAAAAATTCTTTCACCAATATTTAGAATGGAACCTCAGGGTGGACATAGGCTGTATATTATTCCATTAAACATTCATATAAATTAAAATGTATAATCTAGGTTAAGGCTTTTATGTCCAATAAATGACGCTATGAGTACGATGCCCTAAGTTTGCTTTTCTGTGAGGCATTACGCTTTTCTGTGAAAATGAACTAAAGCAGATCATCTTCTATCTATCTATATAAATAAAAATGTAATGTTTGTTTGTTCCTACCAATTCCTTTGAAATTTTGACACAACGCTGCATTCGAATATGCACATGTTTTTATATAATATCGAAATTCCCCCCACTGAAGGGAAATGGTTAGGATTAAGGCTTACCGTAAAGAACTCTGCTTCTATTTATACTATTTTAGATGCGGTTTTTTTGCGTTTTAATAGGGTACGTCAACAGAATGTACACTAAAAAGAAATTTTTCGAAAAATTCCCCCACGGGAAAGTGCTATAAATTTATAATAGATACATTTTGAGCCACAACAACGCATGGCGGGGCCTGCTATTTTTAATATTTTAAATGTAAGAACTTAAACTTTAGCTTTTACAATTTTCTTTTTAAACTGATATTAACAAATAGTTCAATGTTTTGTTTAACATTTTCTAATATTACCTAAAATTTTCTAATTTTCATAAATGTAATAATTATTAACAAAGTAATAGTCTAAAAGAGTGTTCAGTTTGAAGTGTAAATCTGCCAAGAGTATGAAATATATTAATCCATATCTAGAGAATTTTATACTAAAATGAAGATAACATAGACATATAAACATACCTTCGAGGTTTTGAAGTATCAAGACATTCAACTTCTTGTCCTTCCTTGAGTGGAATGCCTTCAGTATCACTTTTTGGTGGATCATAATCCAAAACAGCAACAAATATATCTCCTGGCTATAAAAATAAAACATATTTTAGAAATAAAACAAACTACTATAGAGCTATTCTGAGCTATTAATAATGTAAACCAATATATTTAAGAACTACTTTAAAATATTTTTGTCCTTTCTTATTGAAAAGAATATATTAAAAAGTACATTTTAGTTATAAAATAATTTAACTGTAAAATGTCTTGAAATGTCTAAAAATGTTAAAATTATTCTTGTATTTTGTTCTATTTTATTATAAATCTTCAATATTGAGAAAAGATAAAACTATTTCTTCTATATACAAATATAAAAGAAATATTAACTATTAACCCAATTTTTCATTAAGATCAAACAATCTACTGAAATCAAATAGTAGCCATATTACTTCTATAATTTGACTTATTTATCAAACAATTAAACATAGTTTACTAATCAATAATTTGTAAGCCAATTATTTATAGACCAATATTTTTATAGACAATATTATAAATTTATCATTATAATATAAACATTTAATACATAATAAAGTAATCTTTATTTGCAGATTATATACCTACAAATTAAATCCAGTACATTTTGGCCAAATTGCAGTTTTTCTAGACCCTTACTGCAAGTCCTGAATACTTATACAATTTCTTTTTATAAACTTACTACTTACATATATGCAATATTGTTGTAAGTTTGCTGATTATTATGTTGTATGATATACAGACAGGTTGTAAGCATAACTTTCAGTTTACTGTTCAAGGTTAAGTTGTAAGCTAAGAACAGGTATCTCTTGTTTAACAAGATTTTGCTTAATGCAGGATTTGATTAACACACAAAATTATGGCAATCCCTTTTTATATGCAGCAAAAGTTTTAATTAACACAGCTTTAATGGCAGTCTTTACTTAAGCTAGATATGTTTTTCTTGACAAATAAGGTGTTAGTAAATTTGCTATTTTCAGTTAGTAATATAAAAATATTTGTTATTAACCTAAATTTTATCTAGCAGGTGGTGAATGGGTGAATTCCAAGGTATGTCTATATTTGCTTAACACAATTTTCATATACACAGTAACATCAAGGGATTAATTAACTGAGTTAATCAAGGGGATACTTGTATATAAAATGAAATGAGTTAAATGTTTACTGATTACTTTATCTAGCCAGTCACGAAGTAACTAACAGTGATACAAGGGTAATCCAGAAAGTAACTTATGTTTTAGAATTAAAAAAACCCAAGAGAAAGGAAACATTTTTTATTATATAATTTGAAAGCCATACTCTTAAATTACTTTTCAACGTAGTCACCATTCAAATTGAGACACTTATCACAACAGTGCACCAGTTTATTAATTTCATCAACATAGAATTTTGCCACCTGAGACTTCAACCACTCATTCACACTTGCTAGCAGTTCCATGTCATCATCAAAGCACTGCGTTGAAAACCACAACTTTATGCATGGAAACAAACAGTAGTTGCTCGGTGCAAGATCTGGACTGTATGATGGATGATGGAAGATCTCCCATCCGAAACCATCCAAGAGCTGTCGAGTGTAATTGGCCGTGTGTGGGCTGGCATTGTCATGAAAAAACAAAATCTTGGAACTCAATATTCCCCGATGTTTGTTTTGAATTGCTCTTCTTAACTTTTTTAATACTTCACAATATCTCTCAGAGTTTATTGTGAACCACATTCGAGGAAATCCACCAGAAGCACACCCTTTCTGTCCCAAAAAATGGTCACTATGATCTTTCTTGCTGACAATGTTTGCAAACATTTCCATGGTTTTGTGTGGGAGAACTTGTGTAACCCCTCTTCATAGACTGGTTTTTTGTCTCACAATTTACGTGTTTTATCCAAGTCTCATCCCCAGTTACAATACGATTGAAAAGTCAGTCATCATCTCTGTGGTAGGCTTCCTGAAATGTCAACGATGCTACTATGCAGCTTTTGGCATAAAACTTTTATCCATCTGGCACAAAACTTGTAGTAGCCCAGCTTGTGCATTACAACCTCATGCAAAAAACTCCATGAAATTTGTGAAAACTCAAACAAGAACACCTTAATTGAAAAGCAATGATTTTCACAAATCTTTTCATTGATTTTTGTCACCTGTTCATCAGTCAAAATGCACAAATGCTCTTTCTGAGGTAAAATGATGTACAGTATTATAACTGATAAAACTCATACAGCATAAGTACTTGCATGTGTAGAAAAATTACCATAGAACTATTCCATCCTGTCACCCTATCTCATAAAATAAGCACAGTTAGTATTGACTAAGTGTAATCCTTCATCATGCTGACTGTAACCCTGTTTATTATGCTGTTAATTGGTTTAGCAATTATACTGTATATATTGAAACCACACGTCAAAGCTAACAAACAATAAGAAATAAATCAATTCATGAATTAATTATTCATTAAGAAGTCATCTGAACTTTTTACATTTATTTGCTTGAGGAGAGTAAAAACATGAAAAATGAAAAAATTGAATTTGAAAAATTATTGAATTAATATTAATTAATTAAAGATTTTACACAAAGTATAGCATAACTGCAAAAAAATTAAAACAAATAACAGAAAATAACACAGTTTCTGCCATATTTTTCCTTTGTAGTTTTTTGTAAAAGCTAAAGAATTAAAAGAAAAATGTTTGAGGAAATTACACTAAATGTGAAAATTGAAATTAAATTATCTGAATAAGACCACCACTCCAGGAAAACTAAGACTGTCTTTTTTCCTACTAACTAATCATGAGCACTGAGCAGGAATGGAAAGAATGAATCAATTCAATGTTGCTAGTTCTAAATTCTGTTGAGCTGACGACGTTGAACTTCTCTCAGAATAGCTTTAACTAAAACTCACATTGATTGAAACTGCCTATTGTATTGCAGGTTACCTGTATATTGTTTTTATATAAAATAAGTTACAATGATTAATATCTGACACTGGATATAACAAACTTTCAATTATAAATTTAATCCTTTGGAGGTATTGGCACTGTTATATGAGCTCTGCTTCTATGATGATGGTGTTCAGTCAAACTTTTGAATTCTAGATGCCTGANTATATACATATATAATATAATATAATAAGACCATATCCATAGCCTGGAGGCTTGGAAATTTATAAAGCCAACTTGAAAGGCAACTGTATTAACTTTAAAGACTGCAAGATGGTGCTTGCATGGAAGTACCTGTACAAGAAAATTGAACAAAGTCAATCAACTGCATGAATTTGATATATTCAAAGTTTAAAGCCAAGCATCATTGTTCTAACATTTCAATTTTTGAAAGTCAGTTTTGTTAAGCACCTGAGGCAGGCCTTGGTGAAGGCCAAAAATGTTTGGAAATTACATTAAAGTTCAATTACTGGTTAAAAAGGTTTTATGTATGATAGTTTATTTACCCACTCCAGTAAGTTGAGAAGATGACTATTATAATATTCAAATCAATTAATCATATAGAAAATAAGAACAATTTTCAGATTTTTCATAAAAAATAAACTTTAATCTAATTTTGTGGTTTATTTATAGATCTAATCAGTGGTGTGTTGGTAAATTTTTAACAATTGGTTGCTTTGGAGGCACAAGGAGAGAGTAAGAGGAAGAAGAATAAACAGATGTAAAATTTTCAGAAATCCTTTTTTAAAGGATTTTTTCAGATACTTACCTATATGTTAAAATGTTTTGTAATCCTTTTTATAAAAACAAAAAAAAAAAAAACTTTAAACACTTCCTATAAAACGGTTCATCACATTTGTGAAAATTTTTTTTATCAAAGTGGATTCTTTTTATTGTCTTTTAAAATATTTGAATTCAACACTTTACTTTATTTAACATATTTTCATGTACAAATAAAAGTTTATTTAAATATGTTTATTCTCTAATTTATATTAATCATGATATATTAATTGTTATTATAATTAACTCTCTAAATTTAAAATACTCAATATCAGTATAAACTTTTTAAGTGTATCTATAATATATTTTTTGACCCATCAAAATTGTTTTTTCTCATCCAGTCATATTATAGAAATAAACAATCTGTTGCGATCTTTAACGGTTATTTAATACTGATGACATTGATGACAATACAAATGTGTATACCGTATATGAAAGCCTTAGCTTATCGAAAATGTTTACTATTTACAAAACAAAAAATGTACCCTGAAAATATAATTAATTTTAACATTCTAATATTTTCATAAAAGTAGTTTAAAAATAGAGGAGCCATTCTATTTCTGGTGTCATCCCGTTCGTTTTCAAGGACGAAATGAATGGATCCTATTTCAACACGTGTTTCCTGTTTAGTAACAAATTCAAATTCCACACAGATTGAAAAGCGTTTGACAAGAACGTCTTTTGAGATATACTTCTGTAACATAACAAAATATATTTTTTAATATTTCTTTCTAACAAATTTATGAAAGCAATTCAAATTTTAACATGTCCGGAAATTAAACATTATTCTTTTAATTTTCACGTAAAAGTGATTATTTTGAATCTTAAAATTACTACTTGTTAAATTATGAAAAATAGTTTATCTCTGTTTTCTTCAGAAATCCAGTGAATTACTAAATAAAATTTTTAAAAAATCCAGCAACGAGTTGCTTAACTTTTCCGGCAACCTTGGTGGCGTCATCTGTTATCATGTTTTATTTAAAAGTTTTTATATTTTTAACTATAAAATGGCAAAAACCTTAATTTTGAGAGTAGGATGAGTTTTATAAAAAAAAAACAAAACAAAATTGTAAATGCTAATAACGAGTAAAATCGTCATTAAATTCGACCCTGCTGGAGATACACACGACCCCATTATCTCCCACCTCCTCGATCTTTAATCACCAAATTTAATAGCATCAATCCCCTAATAAACAAACATTCTTGCAAAAAATTTCAGAAATTTTCGACAGAAAGGACAGGAATTATTAAGCTTCAAAGAGAATGAACAAAATTGTGTCCCAAACACAATAACCTCCATACATATAGAAATTACTACCGAATTTTTTTGCATTTTTCGACCCCTGAGTCC